GGAAAGGCATGAGGTTTTCATCGGGCATGATAGAGTCATCCTCCCCAGCCAACCTCAGATGAACGTCGGCTGGGATTTCGAACTCCTGCCTAAAGTATCCTAATTTTTTCGGGGTGTTTACCCTATGTTCCCACATACCCATGACGTCGGCTTAAATGGAGATATTGGATTTCAGGAAGAAGTATTTTTGGAAGCGTCAGCTTAAATGGAGATATTGGATTTTAGGAAGAAGTATTTTTGGAGGGTTTAAAGGACCTCGGCTAAAAACCTACAAATATGCTATGATAAGGGTTTGTATGGATCTAGAAGGAATTCGTTTCGATTTTTCTTAGAAATTGTGGGTTCTACAAACAAGTCCCAAACCTAAAGCCATGGAGGTGAAGATTGAAGGAACGAATCTGGAAAACAGAAAAAACAAGGATTCGTTTCAGAAACACGAATGGTGATGAAGACATCAAGAAATCAAGACAAAAAGTTTGCACAAGTGTATCAGGCCAAGAACAGTGGCAGAAACCAACAAGTATGTGAACAGTGCGAGTATTCAAGACATGGACAAAGAGCAAAATTATGAAATAAATATGCTTAGATACATGATTCGCGAATCAAATATTCAAATAAAACAACAATGGCAAATAATGATGAAGCAAAATTTCATGGAACACAACAAGAACTGAAAACCAGGAGGAATGGTGACTTACCAGAGAAAATAAGCAGATGCTTGAGATCGCCGAAGTCAGAAGAACGGCGGTGGTAGAACAGATTGGCAAGAACCACGCCGGAAGAGGTGAACGGTAGCGATGGCAGAGCTTCAGAGCTTGAAAAAATGGAGGATTAGAGGAAGCTAAAGAGAGAAAAAGTTCTGAATGAAGACAATGTAAAGTGAAAAAAATGAAAGAGGGAAACAAGTTTTGTCAAAAACTTGAAACAGTGGCAAAAGAGGGCAATTAATGTGCCTAGAACAGCGAATGCGTCTGACGGCGCATGTAGGCGCGAAACGACTTATAAGTGCGTCCAGAGTACGATCCAGTAAGGAGAAAACACGTGGCTAAACGGTTGAGTTGTTATACATAACAGCTTATACGTGTGAAGAAGCTCTTGGAATTCTTGATCTCTGAAAAAGACATATCGGCCTATGATTATGATCTCGGCTAGGCTGATGTACTGGCAGGAATGAATGATATAGGTTCCATCACCTCAGAAAGCCGAGATAATAGAACCTAGGGGGCAGTTGTGGGAATATATTTTCTGAGTACCAACACGTAACTAAGGTGACGCCGACGTGTCAGCCGAGGTGCCACGTGTCCTGGTCATAACGCCGAGGTTATCTCAGCGAGGCCGAGGTTACCTCCGAAGACATCAGAATCCGAGGTAAGCGGATATGGCACAAGAGTTCCAGAAAGGGGGAAAACTACAATTGGGAAAGGATAAGACTCTTAGGGAGTTTATCCCAATCCTACTGGGAGTCCAAGATTAATAGTACTTCTAAGTTCATTAGAGCCAGGCTCCTGTTGGGACAATGATTGAGTTAGCTATAAAAGAGAGGCACCCCCGTGGGTCTGAGGTAGACAATTTATATTCTGAATAGTGAGTTTAACACTATTGATTATCTTTGAGAGATATACTGACTTGATCATCGGAGTGCCTCCGGGTAGACGAATCACCGCCGGAATCTTCTCTTCTGTTGCAGATTAGTCAGGTGTCATCTATTCTGCCAGTGTTCTTCAGCTGAATGCTGAGTTTGACAGTGTGATCAGAAAATCACTCACACACATTGAGATGTATAAAAGAATTTTAAAATAGGTAAAATAAGTATTAAAATTATAAATATCTTGACTTGTTTTGAGAAATTAACTAAAAGTTAATTTTTTAACTTGTTTTAAAAAAATATGTAAAAAAAATAAAAAAGTGATTGTGACCCAAAAACCAACTTTCCAAAATAACCCTTTGCATTTCTTATTGACAAACTATTTGACAAACTATCATTAACAGGGCTCATATATAAATTTTTAGGAAAGTAGGTGCAAAGACAAATTATTTTCTATTTTTGAAGAGTATTTAGAGAACTTTTACACGACAAGCTAATTTACTGACATAACTTTATTCATACGAGTCTGACAAATCTCCAACCATGGACCTACCAAAGGACAAACAAAGTATTCAACTACAAAATTTTAATCCAACACGGCACTGAATGCATAGAAATTTTAGATGGCTTTTGGTAGTATTTTTAAATTGTGATTTTAATTAAAAAAATTATAATTAAATATATAATTTAAATTTATTTTTAAAATTTGAAATCAAACTCTTTTCAAAATTTTATTTTTTTTTAAAAAATCAAAAAAATATTTTTCTATTTTGTTTTTTAAAATCATAATTTAAGTGTGGAGTCGTATTTTGACTTATGATCACGTTTGTTTGACAAATTAGATTGAATGAGACTATAAGTACATTGAGATTGAATAAGGAAATTAATAATGTAATAATATTAAGGCCAAGTTTGACATAATTGAAAAAAAGATAAAAATTCAAAAAGTCACAATCCTATTTAAGTCACATCATCTTATTTAAGTCACATCACCTTTCTAACACATCACTTCAAACCTAACTCATATTTTATAAAAAATAAGAAAATATACTTATTTAGTTTTCTCAAATTAGGCCTAAGTTAAAGGTGTAGGATAGAGTGTGTTTATTTGTGTGGCCCTTTGGGAAGAAAACAAAAAGTTGCGTTTTGCAGCCAGTCAAAAACGCCACAAGCAGCATAAAAACGCAAGCAAGGGGATTTGGGAGGGGACAAAAAAGGAGGTGGTAAAATTACATAGTTGCCCTCCATGAATTACATAATTGTTCAAACAAATACCTGGGTCAAATAGTAAATTTCTTAAGTTTAGTGGGGGTATTTAGGTCATTTTAATGTGATGTGACACAATAAATAAATGTTATACAAAAAGGCAAAAAAGTAATTTTTTACCAACTTCTCAAATCACTTTCCAAAAAAGTCAAAAAACTTAATAAAAAGTCAAAAGTCAACTTTTTATCGTCTTCTCAAAATACTCTCGTGTATTAGTGTATCGATATTGATTAACTGGGATTAAACTTATGAAATTTCATAATTACCCTACTTCCATTATTGTAGTTATCATATAGGCTAAGGGGTAAAATAATATTTTACCCATTAACCCTATAGGATTGCATCTCAGGGGTTGTTTGGGATGATCTAAATAAGTGCACTTTTTGACTTTTTATGAAATATGGGTTGGGTTTGGGTTGGATTTGAAGTGATGTGTTAGAGAGGTGATGTGACTTAAATAAGATGATGTGACTTAAATAGAATAGTGACTTTTTGACTTTTTAATTTTTTTCAAGTATGCCAAACTTAACCTCAATTCCATGTGTTCCAAGTTTTGCTAACTAGTAATCCGCCCACACATTTATCAATTAACACTTACGTCAATTTTTTAAAACACTAACACAAAGGTAATGAAAACACTACATAATATTGCTCTGGAAACACTAAATAATATGTTATGTCGACCATTTGCTTTTATCATTGGATAGGGATGTATAATGTGCCACTTAAAATGATAAACATGGCCTTGTTTTGTTTATTTTTGATACCAAAAAAAAAAAAAAGAATTTTTTGTATAAATATCAAAAAAATATTTTAAATTTTTTAAAAATTATATCTAACCTTTAAAAAATAAAATTATGTAAAAATATAAATATTTTTTTAAATTTATTTTACTAAATTAATTTTTAATTTTTTTTAAAAAATTCTGAAATAATTTTTTGAAAATCAAACCACACAACCTATTGCTCATAGAGAGATATAACACCTCACACAAAGTACTGCTCATAGAGAGAGATAACACCTTGCATCGAAGGTTGTGGAAGCTTGATGTCAAAATTCAATAAGAGTCTTACATGAGATCTCAAATGTACGCAGACAATTGAAACCTATTTGAGTATTCAGATTCCATACATCTCTTAAACGAATGAATTAAATGATGATAACACTTGCATCGCAGAATGCCATGGTTTTCCAGATCTCCGCAGTCTTATCGCGCGCATTCGACTCTTCAATTCCCGCTACAGACCCTCCTTCCTACAAAGGGGTTGCCCTTGGAGGCATTGGAACAGGAGCCATACAAAGCCTAGTGATCTCGCCTGTCGAACTAGTCAAGATCCGCCTACAACTACAGAGAAGAACAGACCCTGAAAAACCCCAACTAGCAAATCATCACAGAGGTCCAATTGGTGTTGCCAAAAGCATATTTCAAACAGAAGGTTTGAGAGGTATTTACAGAGGCTTAACGATTACTGTGCTCAGAGATGCGCCCGCTCATGGTGTGTACTTCTGGACGTACGAATGGATGAGAGAGCAACTTCACCCGGGTTGTCGAAAGAGTGGCCAAGAGAGCTTCAAAACAATGCTGATTGCAGGAGGCCTTGCAGGGGTTACTAGTTGGATTGGTTGTTATCCATTGGATGTGATCAAAACTAGACTTCAAGCTCAATCACAATCCTCTTCGCCAAAATACACAGGTATTGTTGATTGCTTTCGCAAATGTGTAAGGGAAGAGGGGTATCATGTATTGTGGCGAGGTTTAGGGACATCAGTTGCTAGAGCTTTTCTAGTAAATGGAGCTATTTTCACTGCATATGAAACAACTCTTAAGGTGTTTGTTTAACAACAACAATCATGATAGCATACAAACAGACAATTGAATCTTTAAGGAATATGGTTTCTAACATTTCATCAAATCGGGTGAGTAGCTCTGCAGTGTATTTTGAAACAAAAATCATATAAACATTCAGAAACTGATTGGCTTATTATGCCATTCTTCTTGCAATATATGTGTCTTTACATAGATTACCACATTCATACCTAGGCCAACAAGATCTAGAGGGAATCAAATAAATATGAAACTGTACCAACCTTTGAACGTACAAACTAGGGGACACACTCCATTTTCATAACCCATGAAAACAAGAAAACAAAACAAAAGATTGAATGATAGAATAACCCATATATGAATGTAATTCTGATATTGATTTCAGCATAGTCAGATACATTATTCTGAATCAATTGATAAATTTATTAGTCAATTTACTATCATTGACACAATAAAAACAACAACAGTAGACATAACATTTCTGGTTAAACAAACACACTGTACTCAGCATACTAAGATTGGAAAAGGCTTCAATAGGTACCTCCGGTACCAAACTGTTCGACCCTGTTCTGACTGAGATTGAGTCCCGCCATAGCCTCATTCAACCCAGAACTCGCCTCTGCCAACACATGCGGATCATTGTAGTTCCTTATCGCCATCACAATTGCACGAACGCGCTCATACGGATCCGAACAGTAGAAAATCTCCGGTCCGATAAACACTCCATCGCAACCCAATTGCATCATTAGCGCTGCATCTGCAGGCGTAACAATGTCTCCGGAAGCAAAATTCGCCACTGGAAGCCTACCCATTTGCTTGGTTTGAGCAACAATGTCGTAAGGAGCTTCGATCTTCTTCGAAAATGCGAAAACTTCGTCTTCGTCTAAGTTTGTGAGAATTCGAATATCACCCATCACTTTTCTCACACTACGAACAGTCTCGACAATGTTCCCAGACCCAGATAGATCTCCTTGAGTTCTTATCATCGCCGCACCTTCTCTCACTCTCCTCAACGCCTCTCCGAGATCTCGACAACCGCACACAAATGGAACCCCGAAATTGTGCTTGTTGATGAAATTATCTTCGTCGGCGATTGCGAGAAGCTCGCTCTCGTCGACGTAATCCACGCCGATGGCTTCGAGGATTTGGGATTCGACGAAATGGCCGACTCGGGATTTGGCCATGACTGGGATTGAGACTGATCGCTTGATCTCCTTGACGAGAGAGGGATCGGGCATCCGAGAAATGCCGCCATTGAAAGGCTCAGAGACGATGACACAGCAAGCTCCGGCGGACTCGGCGATCTTGGCTTGGTCCGAATTGGTGACTTCGAGAATGGCTCCGCCGCGGAGGGTTTGGGCGAGGCCGACCTTGATTGAGAATGGGTTCTTCTTGGCGTTGCTGATGGCGCTGTTGTTGTAGATTGTGACGGCACTGTCTTCTGCCATCGCCAGGTGTTTGTGAAAATACCTGAATGAAGAAATCAACTATGTGGGTCTATTTGGATTTGGATTTGGATTTGGATTTGGATTTGTTTGTGGGTTGATTGATAGTATATATAGATATATGGTATAAGGAAGAGGATGAAGAGAGCTGGAGAAGAGGAGGTGGGGGGCGGTGGCGTTTGGTGACTTCCAGAATCTCCGTGTTGCTTCTTCTTTGCCAGTCAACTGGAAAATTGTAGGAAGTTCCTTCATTTTCCAACGGTGTGTTTGGATAAACATATAAAACGCCTGGTTTATTTGACAAATTAAATTAGATGAGATTATACGTACGGTAAAATTGAGTGAGTAGATTATTCATGTAGTGATATTATTTTAGAGGTGGATTAGGTTTGATGAGATTATAAGTACGGTAAGATTGAATAAGTAAATTATTAATGTGATGGTATTAATTTGGAGGTATGATAAAGAGTGTTTGTTTGTGTATTAGTGTGGTGGTATTAGTCTGTTAAAATTAAGGCAGATTAAGGCCTTGTTTGCCATAACTTAAAAAAATTAAAAAGTTAAAAAGTCACTATCCTATTTTAGTCACATTATTTTATTTAAGTCACATCACTTTAAACCCAATTCATATTTCATAAAAAGTAAAAAAATACACTTATTTAAATCATCCAAACCAACCCTAAATCTACAAAATTATGTAAATACCTTCATTGTATAATAATTAGCTTTGTTGTTTTTATAATGTAAGGGCAAAGTTGTTTTTTTGACAACTAATTACATGGGATTGTATTATCAATCCCATCCTTACCATTAGAAAGCTAGTCTCACTATGTGAGGGTATTCATAGTCGTACAAGACTATTAATCCCTTTCTATTTTTGTCAATCAAACATAAGCTATGTAAGGCCCACAAGATTGGTAGTCTGATTCCTCCACCTATACAGCCAAATTAACATGACCAAAAGGTTTGGGTAATTTACACTAGCGTTCAGTAAAAAAATAATAATAAAAAATTAATTAATTAATTAAAGTTTAACCATTGTAATAAAAGAAATTTTTAATTTTATTAATTTAAATTATGATATTTTTGTTTATTTTCAATCTAAATTATTATTCTATTTCTGTTAAATAAAATTGATACAAAGTAATATTTTAATCATTAAATTCATTGTAAATGTATTTAAAATATTTTTTATTTTTAGTTTAATAAATAAAATATCTTTTCTTTTTCTTTTTCTTTTTTTTTTTTCAGTTTTACTTAATAGAAATAAACAGATAATTTTGATTGAAAATAAATCAAAAAATCAAGATTTAAATTAATAAAATTCAAAATTTATTTTGTTACAAGCATCAAATCTTGCAGGTTTTTTTATTTTTATTTTTTTATTTCTCCCATAAATAAATATAGGGTTAATAAAAAATGACAAAAAAAATACACATCTCAGAATATTTTTCACTAAATTTAATACTTTTTTTTTATGAAGTTCAAAACACTTTAACAAGAAAATAGTTAATAACACTTTCTTGTTACAAGCATCAAATCTTGCAGGTTTTTTTATTTTTATTTTTTTATTTCTCCCATAAATAAATATAGGGTTAATAAAAAATGACAAAAAAAATACACATCTCAGGATATAGTTAATTTTACATGTTTGACATAATTATATTATATTATATTATATTAAAGTTTAAATTCTCACAACACTTTGCCCATTTATCATTAGTGATAATAAATAGAGTAATTTTAATTTCACACACCAAACCTCCTCACGCACATACTTAATAAATTTTTTCAAAATTACATTTTTATCCTTTAATTAAATTACTATTTAGGATAAATCTTTATATTTTCTAATTTCACAATACTTATCCAAACTATAGCGATCCCGGTATTCCCTGTTGTTGTTTAACTGTAATCCGGACTCGGTTCCGTAGATTTGTTGTTGTCTTATCCTCATTTCTATCCCTTACTCTTTGTGTTAGAGTTTTGGGTTGTGTTGGGCAAGTTGGGAATAAGTCGGCCGTGTTTTAAAACTTAGAATCTTTGCCCAGGTTTTGGTCTCTCCGCTCGAGCGGTGATTTGACGCTCGAGCGGGCTTTTGTTGTTGCCTTTCCGCTCGAGCGGCAGTTTGGACGCTCGAGCGTGAATTTCCTTCTCTCAGCTTTTTGGGCGTCTGCAGAAAATTCTGGGAGAGTGCATCCGGCGCTCGAGCGAATCTTTGGACGCTTGAGCGTGAACCTGTGTCTGACGCTCGAGCGGGGTGTTGTACGCTCGAGCGGACCTGTTTTTATATCAGTCCGTGAAATCACTTTTTTTGATCACTTTTTGATCTCCTTTCTCTCTGTTACTTTTCAAAACCTCCATTGGAGAGCACCTCACTCTAAAACCTAACTTCTCTCTTAGGATTGATCTAGCTAGAGTGTTTTCCTTACCTTGGGTCTTTGTAAGAAGTGTGTTGATCGTCGAGGGCTTCGTTGTGATCCAAGAAATTTGGGATTTGGAGCACTTTGATTTCGGGTCATCTTCTCTATTTGAGTTCTCCATTTGAGGTAGGGATTCTCCTTGTTCTTTTTCAATACTCCGTTTATAGATAGACATGTGGTAATTTTTGTATTGCATGAAAATTGTATCATGTTGGATTTGTTTGAAAATCATGAAATAAACCTAGGGTTGGTTGTGTGGAGAATGGTTTTGGCTTCATTGATTGTTGTCTTGGCTAATTAAAATATAAATTAGTATGTTGTAGTTAAATGAAGAAAAAAAACCCTAAATTATATTTTGGTTGGGTAAATTAAAATAGGGGTTTGTTGACCATTGTGTGTAAATCTATTTTGTGAAAATGAGTGTGGTAAGGGTGTTAATGCCTAAGGGATTAACCATGGCTTTGGAGTTGATTTTATGGAAACAAGATTAGTGGAGTTGGTTTTGTGATAACAAAAAGGAAATGGAATCGTTTTTGTGAAAATAAGGGAAGTGTTTTAGAAATAAGTTTGAGAATTGGATTGTTGTATCTTGAGTGTTGAACACATATGTAGAAGTTGTATATTTAACTACCATGTTAATATTGTTGTTGGGTTTGTGATTCATGATATTTGAGTCTTTTAATAGATGTACTGGCTATATGCATCTAGAGGTTTTGTCCTTGGTCATCGGTGGAGGATGATACGGTTGTGTAGAATTGTCGGGTATGCATTTTACCATTGATTAATTGAACATCGTATGATACATTATATATGTATGTATATTTGCTCGGAAGGAGATAGTCATGTATTCATATACTTTAACACATTGCTGGTGTCTTGATAGTTTATGTATATGCATTATACATGTTGGTTATGGCTTGATGTGCTGTGATTGTTGGTGTTATACCCCGCGCTTAGAATCAAAGGTACCGTTACCTTCCAGCTAGCGCTTGGAGAACTGACCGCGCTAATAATTGGAGGCACCATACCCTTCCAGCTAGCGCCTGGTAAACTGGCTTGTTGTTAATGTTGTTGAATGGGGTGTATTGTTGGCTTACTACGCACATGGCTAGTAGAACGAAGTTGGTTGTAATTATTTCAGTATATCTTTGGCTTACTAAACACATAGCTAGTAGAGCAAAGTGGGATTGTTGTTGTTTCGTTGTAACTGAAAATATCATGGATTTGATTGGTTACAGTTCGGAGGACTGAGTTACTCCATTGGTTGATTGTATACATGTTGGTGGGTTGTAAATTTATATTTTTACAAAGATATGCATGTATAGTTATGATAGTAATGGAAACGAACCGAAATGTCTTTTTTTGTCTTTTGGAAAGTGTGGAGGAGAACAAATGTTTTAAAGATAAACATGTTTGAAAAGGTACATCTGAGTATGTATAGGAAATGGAAGAGAGTATCAGGCTTAGTGAGATTACTTCCTAAGTATTTGCTGATGTTACGAAAGATTGGGAATGGGGGTTAATGAAAGGAAAAAGGAAAGACAAACCACTTGTAGCGTTGAATGAAACGGTTGTTTTCGAGAAAAGTTCATACATATATATTTTGTATAAACTGTCACATTACTATTCTAGTATGAGAATGAGTGTTTATGATCATAGCTATCTGTAAGTTGTTATTGTTGTGGATCATGTTGAGTTCCCTACTGGACTATATGTTCATCCCACGCTGTTGAATCTTTTTCAGGTATTAAGCAGGTTGAGCTGCAAGATTTGGATCTACTTGTTTACTGGCCACGGGGCCTCAGTTATGTTGGTGGAATGCCATTGTTGTAAAAGGGTTACATCCTTCTTCTTGTACCTTAAGTGATGTAAGCCCAAGGGCAATTTATTAAGTATGTTCATGTAATATTTACTTTGCATACGAATGAGAGTATCGTTAATCACTTCTACGGATTGAATATATGAGTTTATTTCCGCATATTATCCTTGTAATTGAATTAAGTTAATGAATTTGGTAATGACTTCGAGTAATAAAAAGTGGGGCGTGACACAAACCCATAGGGTTTCGTCGAATATCAACTTTCAAACAGATCTAAGATTTGCAGACATTGGGTTCATAGTGATAAAAAGATTTGTAGAGATTGGGATCACGACAAAGAGGGTTCCACAAGTTACGGTTTTGAAAGAATATAGATTATGAAGGTCTAGGCTGGAGCGGGGACGGGCCAGGAATGGCAGTGGCGGTGCGATGGCGATGGTTGATGGTAATAGTGATGATAAAATTGCAAGTTTTCTAGCAGAGAAAGAGTAGGCAGATGAAAAATAAATTATGGTTTTGAAAATAAAAGATAAGGACATTATTAAAATAAAAAATGTATACTGAGAATATTTTTTGTTTTTTATGTGTGCACTGAGAAAGTATTAATTAAATGTGTACCCTAATAATTACTAAGGTAAATTACAAATATATTTCTTGATATTTGCTTAAAATATAGATTGTCCTATGTGGTTCTAAAAATTACATCCCGCTCCTTCAATTTCTAATTGCATAACAAATCACCCATTTTTTTAATAAATCATCAAGTCAATTAACTGTTTTTAATGATTTCAGAAATATATTTCAATTACAAATTCAGGTACCTTTATTATTGTATGGAGAGTAGTTGAGAATTTTTTTTTTTGTTAATTCTGTTAAATAAAAAAATTCTGACAATGGGATATTTGTAATTTTTAATTACATAATAAATGACCCCCTTTTTAATAAATCATTAAATCAATTAATTGTTTTTAATGATGTCAAAAATATATTTCAATTAACAATTCAGGT